ATTTTTATAGTTTCATATCTTAAGTTTAAATCTTTTATCCAATGAGAGTCTATCTTTGTTAATGGTGAAAGGTGTGGGTCCAGCCAGGGGTTACCCTGGAGGAGTGTGGTTCTCTCCCTCTGTCTTGGCCATACTCCACCTCTGGAACTCCGGCAGGCCAGGTCAGTTTCGCTCTGTGTTCCACAGAATTGGGGTGATGTCTCTCCCAAATTTGACCCGAGTGGGAGGGACTGTGGGGCTGCCAAAACTGTCAGTTGTGGTGCTGCCACTGTCAGGGCTGGTGCCACTGGTCTGGGGTACTGCTGTGCACAGGTCACAGGAGCCAAGTGGGAAGCTAGAGAGCACTTCCACCTGCCACACAGGTCACAGGTGCTGGGTGGGGAGCCAGAGGGCAGAGCTGCCAGCTGCTAGCCATGGGTCATGGGAGCTGGGCAGGGAGCAGGAGGACAGAGACTCTGGCTGTGGGCTGCAGGCCACTTGGGTCATAGAACCTGGGCGGGGAGCTAGGGAGCTGGTGGCCGGTGCCCCTCTGGTAGCAGCAGTAGGTGCCGCCTCAGGTCACATGCTATGCTCCTTCCATCATGGGGCAAGTCTCTCTCTCCTTGTGACTCCCCACCTCTATTAAAGTTATAGTTTCAGTGCAACTGCCTCACAGCCCATGAGATGCCCCACCCCAGCAAAAATCTTCCAGACACTCCAGATTTTGCAGGGGGTAGTCTTCCAGATCACCAGGAGAAGGGGGAGGGGTGAATTGGGAGTTCAGGAAGGCAGGGAGAATATTAGATCAACTTTTGTCCCAGGCAAGAGACTGCCTGGGCTTGCAGCGGTATCTCTCTGTGGAAGGAGTCCTGGCCCTCAGTCATTCTCTCCCCTTTGATGAAAAAAAAAGGTCATCTGTTCACTGCTCACCTCAAGGTGCTCTCATGATGGAGGGATGGGAAGGATTCCTGTCCTCTTTGGGATGGGTTTTGTACCCGTAATTTGTTTCCTTGGAGTTTCAGCTTGTCTCAGCAGGGGGATGCAAACTTATCAATCCTCTCTCTCAGTTCAGCTCCCTATCTTCCACTTTATTGGGTTGGTTCTGGCCATTATTTCTCCCTCTGGACAGGAGCCTCTGTTGAAAGCTGGCTTCATTCAGCCATCTTGCCTCCCTCCCATTTGCCAGTATTATTGATGTCCATCCCTTTACCTTGAGTCTATTTTTATCCTTTAAGGTAAGATGAAATTCTTGTATACAACAGATATCCAGTCAGCTAACCTGTGCCTCTTTAGAGGACAATTTAAACCATTCACATTAATTGAGAGAATTGACAAGCCAGCTTGTGTTTTGGGTGTCATGTTTTTCAAATGTTCAATGGACATTTTTAATCCTTTCACCACTGTGGAAGTTGGGTTTTGTTCAAAAAATTTCAGAGTGGGTTTACTTTGCTGGTAGAGCATTATGCTGGTCATTGTGGAGGATGGGTCTGAGAATGTCTTGGAGAGCTGGTTTAGTTATGGCAAATGTCTTCAACATGTGTATGTCATTAAAGTATTTGATTTCTCCATCACAAATGAAACTCAGTTTATCTGGATACAGGATCCTGGGCTGAATGTTGTTTTATTTTAGGAGATTGAAGGTTGATGGCCATTTTCTTCTGGCTTAAAGAGTATGGGCTGAGAGATCTGCAGTCATTCTGATATTTCTCCCTTTGTACGTGATGCTTTTCTTATATCTGGCTGCTTGTAGAATTTTCTCCTTCATCTTAACATTGACAAAATTAATCACAATGTGTCTAGGAGATACTTCATTTGGACTGAGTTTTGCTGGGGTTCTGAAACTCTCTACTATCTGAATTTCTGTATCTCTTGCAATGCTTGGGAAATTCTCCTCCATAATCTCTAAAGGTAGAACATCTGTATCTTTAGGTATCCTCATCTTCAGGAATTCCTATAAGATGAATGTTTGATCTTTTGGAGTGATCCCACAGCTCTCTCAGGGAATGATCAGTTTTTGCTCTCCATTTATCTGCCTCTGTGACAGTTTGGGAACATTGAAAGCTTTGTCTTCAATTTCAGAGATTCTTTTTTCTTCCTGGTCAACTCTATTACTGAGGGATTCTACTGTATTTTGGAGCTCCTCAAATAACTTTTTCATTGCCTCAAGCTCTGCTATCCCTTTTCTCATTATGTCCACATCTTTAGTGACTTTATCTTTGAATTCATTAATTTCTTGAGACAACTTTAGAACTACTCTTTGGATTTCATTTTCTAACTTTTCTTCCATTCTATTCATCTTATTTGCCATCCATATTCTGAATTTGATTTCTGACATTTCAGCCATTTGTTTATGCATGGCATCTTCAGTTGTATCTCCTTTGTCAATTCTTGAGGGGGTTGATCTACTCTGGTTATTTATGTTGCCAGCATTCTTCTGTTGGTTCCACGCCATGTTTATTTTCCACCATTTGGTTATTAGAACTGGTAGGGTGAGATTGAATTGGGGTTCCCAGGTAGTAGAGATAATCAGCCAAATTGTGGCTTATCCCCTATAACCTTACAAAGGCCCCTTTCAGAGTTTTGGCCAGAGACTCTGAGGACCTACTTGGTGAGACAGTGAAAGCCAGCTGTGTTTTGATATCAGCCACCCTCTACCCTATCCTAAGAAGCCACAGTATTAGGTTTAAATCTTGGTTATGGAGAGATAAGGACAGCTGTAGCACCCCGCCTCCACCCTTCAGTTCTTTTCTGCTACATAACTTTGAAGGTCAACCTCAGAGTATCCCTGGATGGATAGCCCAGGATACAAGTTCTAATCAAATTGTTTCAGGCAGTGCAAACCCTGCTCAACAGAGAGGGATCCAAGAGGTCCAACAGCACAATTAGAGCCAGGGGTTTATGCCCCTGGCCAACAGAGTGGTGTCCCCTTTACTGCTCACCAGCCTAGTTGGAGCCAGGGACCATGCTCCATGCCCGCCAGACTCAGTCCACATCCAGCAAGACTCTGCTCACCAGCCCAGTTGGAGTCAGGGGACCACACCCTGATCACAGGTCTCAGTCCACACCAGGAAGCTTGCCAGCTCTGTTAGAGTCAGGGGACAGGGGACTACACTCTGTCCTCATGTTTTGGTCCACAATAGGCAAGCCTCTGCTTGCTGGCCTGGTGGGGCCTGGGACCAGCCCCACCCACCAAACTCAGTCCACAACAGGGCAACCAATCTCCCGCTTGTGGGTGCTGTTAGAGCCAGGGGTTCTGCACTCCCTCCCACCAGACACAGCCCCAACTGAGAATCAACACCACCACTGGCCAGCAAGGTGATAACCAGGGGACTGCACCTGCTCCCAGTGAGTGTCCCTTTCTTTCCATGCCCTCTTTCTTCCCCAGTAGTCACAGATTCCATCCTGATGTTCCCGGTCCACACTTTGCCCAGATCTCTCAGGAAAAGACCAAACACTCTGTGCTCTGCAGGGGGCAGAACTTCAGACCACCATGTGAGGGTGGAAGGGTGGACTGGGAGTTTGAAATTATGAGCAAAATTATTTGTTCAATTTTATCCCTGGTGGGTGTCTAGGTTCATAAGTGGGGCCTCTCTGGAGAAAGAGTTGAAAGAGTGGGACTTCCCTGGAGAAAGACCCAGTGTTTAGGTCTTCAGTGAGGTAAAATGAGAGGTCTTTTGTTCCCTACTCACTTGCAGAGAGCCCACAGTGAGCCTCCCACTTGGGGGAGGAGTCTCCAATCCTCTAGTTGATAGGCTTTGTACCTGAAATTTGTTTTCCTGAATGCTTTTCCTTGGAGTCACAGCTTGCTGAACTTCTTTCTTGGCTCAGCTCCCCACCTTTGGCTTCATAGAGTTCAGTTCTGTCCAGTTTTTCTCTGGTCAGAAGCCTCTGCCAAGGGATGCTACTAGTCAGCCATCTTCCCAGAATTCATGTTTTCTCTTTTCAATAATTTTTTATTTTTCTTGGACTTCATAATTTTCTTTTTGTTTTCATTAGAATGTATGTGCCTTTTGTTTATTATCATGAAGTTTGCTCACAAAACTAGAACATCCCTTAGTAATATTTTCTGTGTGGTCAGGTTTATTGGAGAATATGTGACTTCCATGGGGTTTTTATATGCTCTTGGTCTTGGTCCCATGATACACTGAGCAGCGATTGTCCTGGACATTCTTTTTGCCTCCATCCTGGGCTTGGTTCTGTGCCTGTTTAATCTGAGTTTCTTTTGCCTTCCAGAGACGTGTGTTTTTAATTTCTTTCTTTCATGTATGAGACTTTTCTGAAGTTCTTGGTAATCCTTGGGTAATGGATTCTTTTTAAAGTGAACACCAATGAGCTGATCAGAAGCTCTGCTGTCTGATGCTAGGCTTATGAACCAGTTAACTTAAACATAGTGAAAGGAGATAAATGATTTTTACTAAAATTGAGGATTTTTTAAGTATCTGAAGGCTTTTTATCTGGGGGTGTTCAGGCTCTGCAGAAAATAACCTACCAGTTCTTGCCTGGAAGAGATATGCCTGACTGTCACTGTTCTGGGAGAGGGGAGAATGTGTGTGTGTGTGTGTGTGTGTGTGTATGAGTTTATTCACTTAATTGTTAATTGACATTTGGTTACTTTCTGGTTTTTGAAAATTGTGAATAAATATATTTGCAAATAAGGCCAGCATAAATATTCACACATGTCTTGTGTAGACCTGTGTATAAATATTGATGCATGGCCATAAGGATCAAGAACAATCAGTGAAACACAGTATCACCAGAGAGACAAAACAAAGTGCCAGTGACCAATTCCAAACAGATGGAGATGTATGCACTGCCTGAAAAAATTAAAAATAGCTGTTTTAAGGATGTTTAGCAAATTTTAAGAAATACAGAGAAATAATTAAAGACATGAGAAAAATAAGTGACCAGAATAAAAAAATTAATAGAAAGATTGAAACAATAATAATCATTAAAACCCCCTAGAAATTCTAGAGCTGAAAAATACAGTGAGCAAAATGAAAAATGCAATATGCAGCATCAACAGAATTGATCATGCAGAAAAAAGAATATGTGGACTCAAAGAGAGGTTATCTGAAAATATAGAGTCAGAGGAGGAAAAAAATAAAGAATGTGGCTTGGCACCTGTGGCTTAAGTGGCTAAGGTGCCAGCTGCTTACACCTAAGGTGGTGGGTTCAAATCCAGCCTGGGCCCGCCAAACAATAATGAGAGCTGCAACCAAAAAATAGCCAGGCATTGTGGTGGGTGCCTGTGGTCCCAGCTGCTTTGGAGGCTGAGGCAGGAGACTCACTTGAGCCCAGGAGTTGGAGGTTGCTGTGAGCTGTGATGCCACAGCACTCTACCCAGGGTGACAGATTGAGGCTCTGTCTCAAACAAACAAACAAACAAAAAGAATAAAGAATGAAAGGAAATGAGGAAACATCACAGGTTTTGTGGGACACCACCAAAAGAATAAAATATTCAAGTCATTGGAGTTTAAAAGTGAGAAGGAAAGAAAAGGAAGTACAAAGCTTATTCCAAGAAATAATAGCAAAAAACTTTCCAGACCTGAAGAATGATAAAAAATATTCAGGTATAGGTCAGTCAAAGGTTTCCAATCAAATTTAATCTATATAAGAATATTCTGATACATAGTAAAATCAAACTGTCAAAAACAAAATACAAAGAGAGTGTCTTGTGCAGCAAAAGAAGATAAGTAATGCACGAGTGCAAGCCTTATAAGAAAGCAAGTCTCTTGTAGGCAACATATAATCTGGTCTCCTTCTTCTTTTCTCCTCCTCCTTCTGTTCCTTCCTCCTCCTCCCCTTCCTCCTCCTCCTCCTCCTTCTTCTAATGCATTCAGCCACACTGGCTATTCAGGAGGTTGAGAATCCACTCACCCATCCCATCCAGCACACAAATACTATATCTATCATCTGAGAAAGCCACCTTGAAACCCAAGAGTCAATCTGCCTGGACTCACCAAAAATATAGGTGTCAGAACACAAAGATAGACATGCTTAGCCCATGGCTACCAGCACTGTAATGTGCAGAAGAACTCATAAGACATAACTCATTAGTCCCCACAACAACTTTCCACAGCCTCTACCAATGAAAGCACCCCAATGGCAAGTGTATGCAGCAGCTTTGACTGGGCAGTGGGGTGGTATTCAGGCCCCTGGGGAAATGCTTGGTTGAGGGAGTGACCTCTACTGCACTGAGGTCCTACCATAAAAGCTGGGATGAGATCAGTTCCAGTGACTACCACTTTGGTTGGTGGGTGGGAGGCTTGTTTTCCTTTCATGCCCCAGTCCAATGGTGCTTTCTTCACCATCCCAGTTGAGGCAGCCAACCTGGATGATCAGTCAGTCTTGGCAGATTACACCCAGCCCATAATTCAGTTCCAGGCTGTAGAAGACACAGCTTGACTCATCCTGCTCAGACACTTACAGACATAACCCTCCCCAACCCAAGCCCCAATTCCACAAGCCAAAATCTTAGTTTCCCTAATGCTAAAGAATTGCTCTACAAGTTTCTAGGCCCTTGCACAGTTTCCTAATGGCTGGTATTAAGAATGCTTTCTTACTGTAGCTGCATAGGTCTGAGGGAATGCAGGGGGCACTCCTTAAAGCATTACTTCTCCTAGCTGCTCTTGAGTTAGATTCAGGGCTGAGGAGGACAAAGGTGCTTTCCTATGGTCTGGACTGTATGATTTCCCAGTGGTAAGTGAACCATAAAAATACACTCACTCATTCCATCCTGTATTGAGTAATTACTCTTAGGTTTTGGCTGGTCCTGGTCATGTGGACTGACTATTTTCCTCTTTCTTCCCAGAATTTGAAGTTTTCTTTTGCATTTCTGTTGAACTCCCATGTTGCCTCTTTGATAATATATTCAAAATGTATCTACATACTATTATTGGTTCTTCTAAGTGGATTGGGCATGCTGGAAATACTTCTAGTCAGCCATCTTGAAAAAACAGAAAAAGAACTATGATACAGTTTAGGTCCAAAGCTGCTTTGTTGATTTTCTGTCCAAATGATTTTTTTCAGTATTGAAAGAGCGATGTTGAAGTTTCTAAGTGTTACTATTTGGGGTATAATGTCTCCCTTTAGCTCTAATAATGTTTGCATTTTATATCTGGGTGCTCTGGTGTTGGGTACATATATTTTTATAATTATTGTGTTTTCTAACTGAATTGAGTCCTGTATGATTCTGTGTTGTCCTTCTTTACATTTTTAAACTTAAGATCTCTTTCATCTAATATATATATAGTTACTCTGGCTTGATTTTGGTTTTTGTTTGTATAAAATATCTTTTTTTAATCCTTTCTCTCTTTTTCAGTTATTTGTGTCTTTATATAGGTGGGGTGAGTTTCTCATATGCAGTATACTAGTTGGATGTTTTCTTTTTTAAATTAGTTTGGCCAATCTATATCTTACAATTGGGGGATTTAGTCTATTTACATTCAAAGTTATTACTAAGAGGTGAGGACTTATTCTAGTCATTTTGTTGATGCTTTTCTGTTTTGTGGCTCCCTTGTTTTTATTTCCTCTCTTATTGTTTATTTTTGCAGTTTTCTGTAGGGATAACATTTGATTATTTTGTCTTTAGCCTTTTTTTTTTTTTTATCAATTCTTCTTGTGTGTTTTATAATTTTGCATGTTTTCGTGATGGTGGGTATATATATATTTTTTCTTCCAGATGTAAATTTCATTTGACCATTTCTTATTGTACGGTCAGTCTAGTGGTGGTGAATTCCTTACTTTTTGCTTGTCTGAGAAAGAAAGGTTTTATTTCTCCTCCTTTTATGGATAATAGTTTTGCTGGACATAATATTCTTGACTGATAGTTATTTTTCTTTTAGTACTTTATATTTATCATCCCATTTTCTCCTGGCCTATAAAGTTTCTTCTAAGAGATATGCTATTAGTCTAATGTGGATTTCCTTTTATGAGGCTTGATGCTTTTCTCTTGCTGTTTTTAAAATTGCTTTTTTTGTCTTTGTGTTTTGATAATTTAACTATACTATGCCTACAGAAGATTGTTTGGGTTAAATCTATTTGGGAAATTTTGTGCTATTTGGATCTGGATATCCATTTCTCTCCCAAGAGTTAGGAAGTTTTCTGCTATAATTTTATTAAATATATTTTCTATGCCTTTTCTATTCTCTTCTTCTGGAATATTCATGATGTAGATATTTGTTCACTCTCTGTGTCCTATAAGTCCTATAGGCTTTCTTCATTCCTTTTGTTTTTCTTAATTTTTCTTTTGTCTGTCTGAGTTATTTCAAAAGGCCTGTATTCAAGCTTAGACATTATTTCCTCTGCTTAGTCTAGTCTGCTATTGAATCTCTAGATTGCATTTTAAATTTTATTTATTGAATTTTTCAGCTCTAAAATTTCCATTTGGTTCTTTTTATGATATATGTTATTTTGTTAAATTTAATTGTTTCCCTTGTTTTATTGAGTTGTTTATCTGTATTCTCTTCTATCTCACTGAATTTCCTTCAGATCATTTTTTTGAATTCTTCTTCTGGAATTTTTTATATTTCCTTGTGTTTGAGGTAGGTTACCAGAGAATTATATTCATTGGGGGATGTTGTGTTACCTTGCTTTTGATGCATCCTTACATTGATACGTATGTATCTGGTGGAAGAGTTATTCTCCCTATGCTATGGTGTGAGTCTCACAGAGAAAGACTTACTTTTATAGATGGGTCTTGGGGTATCAGTTGAGTGGAGTGTGTTGACATTGATTCTAGGTGGGTGTAGTAATGCAGTCTTTGTACAGCTTTTTAGCTATAATTGTCTCAGTGGCCAAGACTGCAAGAGTTTGTGGAGGTTTTGGCACACCTTTGTTGGTAGTGATCTATTTCTCAAGTCAGGCATGCTTGTAGGGATGCTGTGGGTTGGCCAACTTGAGGTCTGTCTTGCTGGGTTGGGGTCACAGGGCTGTTACAGGGGCATGACTGTGTGGTTTCTTGAACAGCCCCAGAGGCTATATCTGCCAGGGGTGGGCCAGACAGGGTGTTTCTTAGATCCTGGGGATGGGTATGTAGCCACTCAGCCAGTCCAAGAGTATGCCTTCTGAGAACAGATCCACCAGGTTGTTTTATAGTTTCTAGGTGCAAATGTGGCTGTTCTATTGGCCTGGGAATATGTCCATGGGGGGCAGGCCTGCCAGGCTGTTTCTCAGGCCCAGGGTATGGCCTTCGGCCTGTGGGTTGTACAAGTCTGGGGATATGTCCTCTGGGAATGAACCCCCCAACTCTGTCTCATACCCCAAGCATAAGTGTAGAAATGCCTAAGGTTATTTCTGTCTTATGAGGGGTTTATGGGGATGTTTCTCAAGTTCTAAATAAGGACATAGTGCTGCTGAGCAGGCCTAGAGGTATGTTTGTGGGGAAGGAAATGCAAGGCTGTTTTTCAGGCCTTGGGTGGGGATGGATATCTACTCAACAGTCCTAGGGGCATGTCAGCTGCTGAGTGGCTCAGGGGTCTCTCTTATTTCTTTACTTGGGGGAGGGTGAACAGTGGTTTGACTGGTTCAATCAAGGGTTTTCCCTAGGTCAGACTGCCAGAATATTTGCCTGGCTGGAAGTATGGGCAGAGGGGGTTGGTTTCAGAGGGTCATAGGACCAGAGAGTGACAATGGAGCCTGGGTTCAGGCAACGAGGGTTGTGATGGGTTAGGGGGTTGGAAAGGTGCAGTGACTCCTGGCCTCTAAAGCAGGGTACACTGCCAAAGTGGCTCTGTTTCAGGTGGTTCCATGCCTCAGCAACTGGCTCACTGGGGGTGGGTAGAGGAATGGGGAGTGCACAACTTGTGCTTCTAATCCATAGCAATGCAACTGTTTGAATTCTTGGTAGCTCTGCAAACTGGGCTCAGGGCTTGTGAGAATTGTAGGATTATACCTTAGTAAGGACTATAAGTGTTTGTGTTGGCAATAGGGGCTGGCAGGGTTCTTCTGCTTAC